TCGCAGCGCAGGGGGGAGGCCCAACCCCGAGCACGCGGCTTGGGGGGGGCGCCGCCCCCAGGCGTGCATGTGTCCCCGCCCTCTGGCGCCCGGCAGGCGAACAGCCACGCCCCCTGGCGCCCAGCAACCCCAAATGGTTGGGGACCACTGGAATAGGGAATCAAGTGATCCATCCCTTCTTGCCCATTCCCAGCTTCTGACAAACAGGCTAGGGACCTGCCCATCCTGGCTAGTAAGTATTGATGGACCTGTCCTCAGTTAACTTATCTAGCTCTTTTTTTAACCCAGTTATAGTCCTGGCCTTTACAATATCCTCTGGCAAGGAGTTCCACAGGTGGACAATGCATTGCCTGAAGTACTTCCTCCTGTTTTATACTACCTATCAATTTCATTTGGCCATCCCTAGTCACTTATTCCATGCCTCAAATGTGCATCTGTAAAATGGTGCTAAAGGCATCGCCTTACTTCAATGGGGCATTGCAGGGATAAAATCCACTAACAACCGTACAGTGCTGAGATGGGGGACAAGGCCCATGCAAGGACCTAGACCATGAAGGACAGGTGCCAGTGCACCTCATTGTATCGCTCATCACACAAGAATACCTGCTAACCTCAGAAGAAACCACACAGCTTGCAAATCGCGATCCAATAGGATTTGACTTGAAGAGGCACAAAACGGAAGGTAAGGAACACCTTTGCTGTCACAGGAGGTCACCGCTTTCAAACTACAACGTAGCTCATATTGCAGCCGTACATAATATACTCCCCCACCCCCATGCACCATTGCTTACTAGACTGCACTGCAAGTTTTTTTGTAAAGAATTTATTTTTTAAAAAGGAGAGTAGAAATGCAATGTCCAAGGTCTCTCTCAAAACCTGAGGGAGCGATCAGACCAAGCTAACAGGGCTTTTGTCATTGTTTTGTGTCCCATTTAAAACCTCACTGTTTGGTCTCACCTGCCACTCTTAATTGAAGATCTCTTACCACCACCCCCCCATACCACAAGTGGCCTGGAAATGAAGGCTCTTAGTCATCACATTTTGATTAAGATGGCTTAAAATTTGAGCTTTAATTGAAATGGGAAACATTCCAAGAGGATTTTTTGGTTTTTTTAGATTTAACCAAGTTATCAATTTAGTTTTCATTGGACATCATTATTGCTAACATTAAACCGTACGCCCCAAATAGAGAGAATTCATATAAAAGAGAATACAATCAAACCATATCTGAATGGATCTGATAAGAGTCCTGGTGTAGGCAGGTACATTCATATCTGCATGGTGGACCAGCATATCAGTTCATCAGAAGTAAAAAAAAAAAAAAAAAGTCTCTGGATTGGTCTGAAAGATTCTCATTTTCCAAGGGTTGATTATACCAGCGCTTTCCTGTTAAGTGTCTTCCCAGCCAGCCACAAATCCCAACTCAATACACATGTCTAAATGCAGGTACATTACAATATTTTTTTAATAGTATTAAGTTATCTTAAATTATTTGAACAAAATTTTAAATTCCACATTTGATATCAATCTAAAAGGGACCAACATAAATCGAGAGAAAGAACACCACTGCAATATCAATTCCAAATTGTTACTTTTTTTTTAAACAGATCTGTACAGCAAAGTAGCAAAGAATTCAGTGATCACAAATCATACCATACAGCGATCTAGAGGAACGCTAATTCTGTACACAGCAGAGCAGAAACACTCCGACGTTCGGATGCTCCAAGCTGGTCAGCTGTAGTGACAGCCTCCAAACCGTTTCTACTTACAGAGGACATTTTGGTGTGGAAAAAAAATCTTTTAAGTTCCCTTTATGATTTCCAGTGTTTCTCTTATACAAAATATTACAATGATTTTATATATATTTACACAGACTTGCACAGCTAGAAAATTACAAATTACAATTAGGCTTGGCAATCTTTTTTTTCTTTTTAAATACATAATCTGGAACATAGATTGACCGTCTATGGTTGTAGTGGTAATTCATCCTACGTTTTCAAGGTCTCCACAGATGCAGTTTTCTTCCCATGCAGCACAAGATTAAAACATTTCTACCATGGGATGTATGCCGGGTTAAGTGCCATGAATGCAATGCATTTCTTCTCCAGCATCAGTAACAGATCAGATTCATGAAGCCTGTGCCAAGTTGGTGGCACAATATGGAAAAAGTCAACACGCAAGTGAACTTCAAGTCCTTTACGTATTTTGTGTTGGCTTGTTTATTCAGCAAATTTATTTTTTTAAAGAAACAGCCAACATCGCTTTCAGAAAAAGCAGCCATTGAACCTCCAGGGAAATCTGCGCAATAGACATGCAGCTACAGTTAAACACATGGGAGGGGGGTTTTGTTAGCTTCAAGCAAACCCCACTTTTTTTAAAAAAAGTAACTTAGAACTAGGCCAGGGATGGGTTTTGTTTTAAAGCTACAGTATTTTTTTTTTATGGCTTTTAGTAAGTCCCTGCCTTTCACTGAAATGAGGTATGTATTCCGAGTGAAATGGTAACAGTCAAGCAAACAAGTCTCAATGGACCACAGGAGGTTTGCACAGTGGTGTAAACAAACAGGTCTTCCCTATGGGATTGCCAAACCCAATTCTAATACAGTGCAAAAAAAGGGATTTTTAAAGTTTTCTTTCTTTTTTTTTTTTTTTTTTTTTAGAAAAATGGGTCACCCAGGGCCTCTCAGAGTTGATTAATAACTGTCAATCCACTGAGCAAATCCTCTTTCCACCAGAGCTCTGTTTATTGACACCACCTAAGGAAAAATAGATAAAAAAAGACACATGAAGGAAATACCAACCTGAGAGCAACATAAAATGCTGGGATCTTACTTCAGGAAGAAGTCCCCAGGACTCAAGTTTTCCAACCCACTTCTGAGTCTATACAAACCAGAACTCTACATCTTTTTGCAAGTGTACGCACCTCATCTCCCATCATACTCCACAGCTGGATAAGAGGCAGACCTGTTGCACCGTCATAGTTTGTGACCTGGAAAAATGCAGACACGTGTTGTTAGCATATGGCACAGTAGACAAACATGCATAACAGTGAGCTGAGGACAGCTCAGCAACAGCAAGTCTCGCTTCCTGAGGACAAGGGGGTTACCAGTGGGGCAGTCTCTCCCCTATAAAATAAGATACAAGGTGAACCTCTCTAGTCTGGCATCCGCGGAACCTGACCGGTGCTGAACCAGAGAATTTGCCGGACCACAGGAGGTCCATATTGTCTAGCAGCATTACCAACGTTTCCACTGCTCACTGGGCTCTTAGGGAGACATTTGGGGTAAATTAGAGCTAAACAACAGCACAGAACAGAGCCAGGACTGACGGCTGTAAGCTAACTTTACGGGACTTTAGGAAACTTGGTCACACCTATAAGCGACATCCGGCTAAGTAAAGTCATGCTGGACCAAAGATGTTGCCAGATCAGCAAGTGCTGGACTAGAAAGGTTCAACCTGTACTTGTCTCCTCTGTACACTGTTTTAAGAGTACAGATGAGAGCTAAGTATTACCCCTCAAGAACACTTGGTCTGTTCTTGGGAGAGAAGATTTCACCTGTACAAGCTCCATGAGCAGGTAATAGCTGAGTGTTTTGAGTCTCCAGAGGGGTTAATTTAACTTTTGATTCATCACAATACTACAGAAGTTATGCTACTTTAGGGTAAGAGCCTCCCATGGCCCAGAATAAGCAGCACTGGTGGTTTTCTGACATCTCCTATTCTAACATTATAACTTATTAAATACATGAAGTGACTTGTGATCATCTAACAGAGCATTTCCCTGGACTCATTCCAGTTTGAACAGAAGTGCAACTTTTAGAGAAGCGATCCATCTTGAGTTCAGCTTTGTCAGTGATGAAGAATACACCACAACCATTAGTAAAGTGGTGTAAGGCTCACTTGCCCTCTGCACTAAAAATATAAGCCTATTTCTAGGCTGAATTTGTTTAGTTTCAACTTCCAGCTGTTGGATCTTGTTATGCCTGCTTCTGCTAGATCAAAGAGCCTGCTATTAAATCTGTTCTCCCACCTTGGGGCTTACAGACGGTGATCAAATCACCCCTTACCCTCTCTTATAAGCACAAGAGTTCCTTGAGTCTGTTACTCTAAAGATTTAAACAATTGGAAACCAGATCTTAAAGTACTGGGTCCAGTTCTGGGCACCACATTTCAGAAACAATCTGGACAAATTGGAGACGATCCAGAGAAAAGCAACAAAAAACGAATAAAGGTCTAAAAAACATGAAAGAATTGGGCTTGTTTAATTTAGAAAAGAGAAGACGGAGGGGATATGATAGCAGTTTTCAAGCATCTAAAAGGGGGTTACAAGGAGGAAGGAGAAAGATTGTTCTCCTTGACCTCTGATGCTAGGACAAGAAGCAATGGGCTTAAATTGCAGCAAGGGGGGTGGTTAGGTTGGACATTAGGAAAACCTTAATTGTCAGGGTGGTTAAACATTGGAATAAATTGCCTAGGGAGGTTGTGGAATCTCCATCATGGGAGATTTTTTAAGAGCAGGTTAAACACCTATCAGGGATGATCTAGAAGGTGCGTGGTTCTGCCATGAGCGCAGGGGACTAGATTTGATCTCTTGAGGTTCCTTCCCGTTCTAGTGTTCTATGATCGTCATGACTCTTCTCTGACCCCTCTCCGATTTATCAACATCCGTCCTGAATTACTAACGCCCCCACTGGACACGGCATTGCAGCAGCCACTGCACTCGTCCCAAAACCAGAGTGACTGACATACCTGTGCAAGCAGGGGTGTGCCTCTGGTCATCTCACTCACAGATGTGTCAGCTTCTGATGAAAAGTGATCCTCATCTTTGGAAAGAAAGAGAAAAGGCAAGTCAGACGTTCACTGGCTCTGTTTCGTCTGGCCTTAAAACCTATTGCAATTATCTAGTCTGGTCTCCTGCATAAGTCAAGCCCAAGAACCTCACTCATGGGCGCTACAGGACTATACACTCTATGAAGCCCAACAAGATCACGCAGAAATGTTTCTCAAAGGGGAGACGATGAACAAGTTCTCTTTTTAAAAGGATCCTGGCTCAGCAGCCACATGTGCATAAAGGGAGTGAAAGGAATTCCTAAGGACAATTGTGTCTTTACATACGATCAATTACATTCATGTTTCAGTTTTTAACCAGGCAGCTGTACGTTCAGGAAGCTCCAGGACCTCACTCGTCCTGTGGGGAGTTTAATATCTGAACAGAAACTCAGCACTAGTCAATGGAATGTAAAGAAATCCCTTGCAGGGTGGGTGGAATTTTAACATTGCAAGCGGTGCTCTTCATTAACATGGTCTGCGTACTTTTCATTGTCCAAGCTGAAGGATGTCTGAACACGGATGTGTCAGATTTCCAGGCATGACGTGGAAAACACTGTTTTGAGGAAGTGGGACAAACAAAATTCTGTGTTTTGGGCTTAGACTACCTGGGGCCTTTACGTGGCAAGATCAAGTTGTTTCCAAATGAACTTTGGTTTTTGTCCACCTACCCTTTTGATCCACCCTCCTGAGACATCTCCAGCATCATCGGCCAAGACGCTCCCCATGCTGCTGAGGATGTGGCAAGAGTTCTCTTATTGCAGAGTGCATGCAAACCATGAACTCTGTTGCTGGCAGCTAGGGATGGAAAGAAGTTCAGCTTCTGCCATCCCCCTGAAGCAGGCAATCTAGACTAGCGAGTGGGCTGCAAGACGGTCACAACCAAGATGGTCTCCTGGGATGGGGTAGTTTTGCTAGTGGCATTTCCGTACCTAGAATTTGCAGGGTGCGCAAGAGGACCGGGGCAGCGCTTTCATTGGATGCAGAGGGTGCGCACAGCTCTGACCGTCAGTGTTGTGTGGAGTCAGCACGCACCTCACATGCCCCTGCATTATGGGTGTGTCACCTGAATACAGTAATTCCTCATTTAACACTATAAATAGGTTTCAGAAAATGATTGTGTTAAGTGAAAACGTGTTTGCGGGGTCAATTTTCCCATTGAAAATTGGGGGTTGCGTTTCAAGCGGTGGTGTCTGTTGGGACCGGGACATAAGGTTGGGAGAGAAAGGGGACTGGGTTACAGCAGGAAGGGGAGGTGTTTGGCTCTGGGGAAGGGGAGGAGAGGGGAAGGGAAGAGAGGGGGACTGGGGTGGGAGTATGCCCGTGACAGGTCTGCCTGGACCTGCACTGCAGCTGGCGAGGGGTTGCCAGGGAACGACGCAGCGAACGGCAAATTCTCCACTGCTTTGCAGGGAGGCGGGGGAAACCCCACGCAGCCGCCAGCGATGGGCCGGCTGGGGAAACCCAGCCACCGGCCTGCAAGCGGGGGCAAGGCGTCCGGCGAGGGGGAGTCAGCAGGGAACAGAGCAGTGAGGGGCGAACCCCCTGCCGCTTTGCAGGGGAAGCCCCATGCAGCCGCCGGCAACAGGCCAGCTGGGGAAATCGTGTTATTCCGGGGACGGTCGTGTAATTCAAAAACATTCCCTAAAAAAAACAACCATGCTATCGCAAAAACTTGTTAAGCGGGCATGTGTTAAATGAGGAATTACTGTACAGGTATGACAAATCTGGCAACCCTGTGCGAGGGCAGCAGTAAATAAAATGTCTTGCAGGCCACAAATGGAGCCCCAATGGGGTACAGGAGGCCCGCAGGCCCTGGGTTGCCCACCACTGCTCTACAGCCTTGGCAGAGGCAAACCTTGTGCTTACTGCCAGTGCTGGGTTTCCAGAGTGCTGACATCAAAAGGCACTACGAATGGGTAGGGGTAACAACCGTCAGTCTCAAGAACTGAAAAGCCTTTTAGGCACTAGCTGAACACCATGTAAGCGACTGTATGGAAATATAGGAGGTTTTCTAGAGACTGAAGAATTAATCTGCTTGCATTTATTTACAGTTACTTTAAAAGGGACAGTGCATCTAGTTATCTAGTTCATTGGCAAAGTGGAGTTTATCATGTAGTTCTAGTTCCCCAGCTGCCCTCTGGTAATTCTGCCAGTTTGTGGTTTTAAGTTACATTCTCTTATTTTTCCTAGCTTTCCATGCACAGCTAAAAAAGACACACACAGGAGACACGAAAGATAGTGTCACTAGTCCCCACAGTGTTGGCAAAAGCAAACACAAAGCAAGAAAAAAAATAATTCAGCTCCACTTTCTAGTAACCTGTGTTGTTGTAGGGATGTTACATTTAAATTAACTGACTAATTGAATAGTCGATGCAAATTGTGAAAGTGCTGCGGGGACCATGGGGCCAGTAGGGTTGGCTTCTAAACTAAGAGCACCTTGTTTAACTCAGTACCATAAGCTCCTCTTATTAGTTTCTCTTCAGTGATCGACGTTACCTGGAAGCGGCACCACGTTGTCTAATAAAACTTCTGCTCCTTGGAAAGGTAGTGTTACAAAATCAGACCTTAAAAGAGAAAAGAATCAACTTGAGTAGAAGACCACACTTCTGCCCTAATTCTCACTCCTTTTTAAACCAGTGAAGGCTGCTAGGACAGGAATTATTTGCTTCCGATCAGTGACAGCCAGACGAATCAATGCGGTACCCGTCCCTGGAGTTTGAGCACAATGCATACGAGGGGGACAGGATCCTCTTGTGCTAAGGCGTGGGAACGAGAGATCTGGGTTCTTTCACTTCAGCTCAGTTCACCACGTGAAAAGGGAGTGCTCGGTTTCTCCCATCCTTGGTCAACTCTGAGGAAGGGACATGGCTTACAATGGGCTTGTTACACTGAGTGCCCGGCACGCTGTGCCCTGAGCTCATCCGGGCCCCTCTCAGCATCACCACGATATTGAAATTGCTGCCTCGTCTCGGCCAGGGCCTACGACATGCAGTGTCAGAGAATTCTCAGTCTCCCTACCACCTTATCAGCTTCTCCACTGGCAGCTGGAGCACAGACCAGGCTCCAATGTTTGGCACACTGACGAGCACTGTTAAATAGGGACAGGGACGGATAACCAGTAAGCATCACCCTTAATGGATGATGCTTACTGGGTAGCGGTTACATGGGAGCAGCCTCCCGCCTATGGCCCGCTGCCGGTGGAGGTCTGCTCCAGCCCCATGGAGTTGCTGGTTCCTAGCCCACCTGGACTGGGAGTCGGCAGCCTTGTGAGGCAGGGAAGCCAGTAGCCCTCCCCCCCACTCCCCTTGCTGTTTCTGGCCCGACATGGCCATGGACTGCTCCAGCCTGGCTGTGGCAGGCAGAGCCGCTCCAGCTGTCTGGGATGGAACTCCCGCGCCAAGCCTCCTTCAATCAGTTAACTGGTTAAACCAAACAGGATCGTGCGTCCCTACTGCTAATAGTCGACAGTCGCTGGCACCTCGTCTAACAGCAGCCAAGCAACGGCCAGACAGGCTAGAAAACCTTGCCCTTGCTGAGGTAGGCCCCCCCCCGCAGGTGCTTCTCCATTTGTTTGCTCTCCCCCGTTGTCTTCCCCTGCCCTGGCTCTGTACCATCTCCTCTGGCAGGCCACAAGTCAGCAGGCAAGCAGTGCCCCCTGGGAAGGGGGAGAATGCTCTCTGAAAGGCTGATGTCTCTCCCTGCTCCAGCTGTCCACATGTTCTGCGCGCCATCGTCCCCCACCAGGCAGAGAACAAGCGAGTCGCTCTCCCAATACACCCAGCATGTCTCTTCAGTGGGACACAGCTTATGGGAGAACAGCCCGGCCCAGAGGACTGGGTACTGGAAGCAGCAGGTAGGTTGAAGGTCTAGTCCTAGTTTTGCTGACGGGTGCCATTAGACAAGTCACTGTTCTGTTCCTCAGTTTACCCACGACTGATCTGCCCTTCTCTGGGGAGTGCTGAGACACTTCTGAGGATAGCACTACGTAAGAGCTAGGCGTATCAGTGAGGAAGCCAGGTGGTGTCCCACATAGTTGTGCCTTGTAGAGAGAACCATCCCCCCAATGCTTTCCTTATACTGCAGAAACACATCCACCTATTAAGCCATTACCCTCAGGTCTTGTCTGCATTGGCTTGTGTTACCCAAACCTGCCTGTTGGCAGCAAAACAGCAGAGATGTGATAGGGTAAACATGTAAATGGTTAAGCAATGAGCCTGGGTCCATTGGTTAATCTTCACGGTTACATGCAAACCCCCTCAACAGAGGCAGTACCGTGCAGCAGGGGGAGGGGGCGCGCTCCATGGTAGCTGGTGCCAGTTCCCACCTCTCCCCCGTGTAACCACTGAAATTTTCAACGGTTACACATTTACCTCAGGAAAACGCATTTTAATATCTCTACAGAACAGCGAGAGTGTTTACACGCCAATGAGACTTTTGTTGGGAACACACCCCCATTTCTGGCGATAAAAAATTTCCATCCCTGCAAGAGACGTTTGTCTTTTCCACTCCTTCTACTGTCGACAAAGGAGCCAGCATGGACTCCCGTTTGTGTTGTCGAGAGAACTGGCTTCCGCCAGTATCCAACAATGCCTTGCCTGAGGGCTCTGCTCAGTGTTTTGTGATCTCTGCTGCCTCCCTCCCCTGCCCTTCCAAAGCTCCAGGAAACGTGACAGCTGAGTGAGCTGCTCTGTTTGGGGATCAAACGGAGAACAAATCATTGTGAAGCACCTGTTCTGCCCTGCTAGCAACACAGCGGCAGGCAGGGTGCTGCTGCAGCGGTAGGGCTGGAGAGACGGCTGTGCTGCTTGGACATTACTCAGCACGAAGAATCCAAAGAGCTACAAGGGAATCTCAAGAAGCACAGGGATCAGCTTTGCCTTCCCACAACACTGCCCTGTGGGATGTTTACCCACACTGCTTCGCTCTATCTGTCGACAGGGGCGTTCGCAACATGGCCAGGAAATGTCGACAATGGGAGGCAGAAAAACTGGTTTGACCAGTTTTCACTTCTGGCGACTTCTGCATGTCGACATCACTTGTTGCCAAACCTTCCCTGTGTAGACGTAGCCTCAGTTATCAAAATTCAACCATTTGTGTTCCCTCAAGGGAGGAAAAAACAGAGCTCCTGACCTGATTTGCCTGAGCGTGTCGATTTTAACTCTCTCGTACCCGCCGTAGTCCACGTATCTGATCTCCACTTCGCTGTTCTCTTTGAAGTAGCCGACGACCTGAGCCCGCCACCAAGCGCCATCCAAGCCCGGAGCGGCACAGATCACGCCAACTGCAAAGCACAGCAAGGCAGAGGGAGAAGATCCAACGTTAGTGCCCAGTTCCCAAAATCCCACTGGATCAACGGAGACAACGGAACAAGCGCTGCCCAAGGGAGGACACCCTGATGCCTGTGCTGCTTTTGGACGAGACACCTTGGGGACCCGCAGCAAGGAGGTGGCACGATATAGCAGAGCACTGGACTGGAATTCAGGAGTCCTGGTTTCTCTTGCTAGCTCTGCCAATGACCTACTGGGTGAATAGGCAAGTCAGTGAACCTTTGTGCCTCAGTTTCCTCTCCCACCTTGTGTCCCGTGTTCTCACCTCAAAGTCTTCAGAGAAGGGCTGTCTCTCACTGTGAGAGTGTACTGGGCCTAGCACAAGTATGGCCAGAGCCACTAGCAGCTGTGGTAACACCTCTATCTCCGCCGCTCTGCGCGGTGAAGTTAAGCATATGTAGGACTAACCCTGCCTGTAGTAATAAGACGCTTTTAAACACACTCTACACCGTCTGCATTTCACCTGTTTTTTTTTTTTTTTTTAAGTAGCTCAACACGAGTAGCTTGGGCAAGAGAAACACTCAGGCTATGCCTAGACTACATCCCCCTTTCAAAAGAGGGATGTAAATGAGCCTGGATCGAAAGCACAAATGAAGCATAGATTTAAATATCCCGCACTTCGTTTGCATATTTGCGTCCGGTTGCTGTTTCAAAAAAGGGTATTTCTAAAGTGAAACCGCAGTCTAAATGCAGTTCTTTTTTGGGGGAACCCCCTTTTTCGAAAGATCCCATACTCCAGAAAAAATGAGTACGGGTTCTTTCGAAAAAGGGGGTTCCCCCAAAAAAGAACTGCATTTAGACTGCGGTTTCACTTTAGAAATACCCTTTTTTGAAACAGCGACCGGACACAAATATGCAAATGAAGCACAGGATATTTAAAACTGCGCTTCATTTGGGCTTTCAATTGGCCCTTTCGGAAGAGGGCTGCAGTCTTGACGAGCCCTCAGAGCTTTAGCGAACGGCCGAGCAGCCCCGTACGGGAGCACGCCGAGTCTCAGTGCTGCTCTAGGAAGCGGCCGAGCATCTAGTCTCTGGAAGCTGCCCTCCAAGGGAAAAAAAACCCAAATGAGTTGGCACTTTTCTGAACCACCAAGAAACCACCCAGACCCACCCACGCTGCCCTCTTGCTCCACTAAACAGCCCCTTATTTTAAGGTGGATATCTCATGCTGAGCCCCTACACCAGACAGCAGAAACAGCTATGTCGGGAAATCTTCTCCCCCACCCTACCCTGCACGCCAACAATCTGGAGGCATTGCCAGAAATTATACCTCTACATAGGAGAAAATGACAGTGTCTGATAGCAAAGAAAATAATCCTGATGTTATAATTAAGGGGCCGGCAGCAAACATCCTCGGGAACGCACAGCAATGCAGTTCCCTGACTGACAAGGCAAGATGAAAACACCCGCAATGGGAAAGGCAAATAAAACACGCCCCGTCTGTCCCTACAGAGAAGCCTAATTCATGCTTCATGTTCCAAGCTCGTGGAGTAGTTTAGAATTGGCCAGAGGCGTTCTGGTTTCAATTTTCCTTGGGAGGAAGATCAAAACCCCTAGACCGAATCAGAACCAAGCCGCATCTAGTTCAGTGTCCCATCTGAGACTGGCCATCAGCAGAGGCTTCAAAAGGGAAGCATGAAAGCCCTGCAGTAGCCAGATGGGGCATTGTCTACTGCCGCCCACCTGACCTACTGTTCTGATATTTGATGAGGTCCTGAAACTGGAGCTTTGAGACCCCTTCATCAAAGTCTATAAGGGTCCCGGCTAGACGTTTTAAACGCAGCTTTTAAAACGCATCTTCCACTGCCCTCTAACCCATGTGTAGGCACCGCAAAATCTGTTTATTTCACGTTACTTTTCCGAATAAGTCGGATCCTGTTTGGAGCCAAGCAGTGCAGTGCAGGGGTGCCGGAGAGACCGTCGCCAGCAGAAGGGAGCAGTAAACTCTAAAGGAACGTAAAAACTTATCTACCCACTCTAAGGGAATGGGGGGGAGGGGGGAGGGGGAAGCCTTATTTTTGAATTAAGCAGTACAGGGAATAATAGTTATCTAAAAACTTGGTCTGATAACTACTATAAAGTATGTTTTCTAGAGGTAAATGAGGCACTGCTAGGCGCTTTAACTCAAGCCAAAGGCAGTAGATAAGGAACCAAGGGCTGACTGGTCACCCATGCGCAACCACACTAGGCACTGCTACCACCAATCTCCGATTCCAAGCACAGGGACATGCCTCGAAAAAACGCTATTTACACACGAATTAAGCTATGCAAAAATAATTACGTCCCATTTTTATACAAGTTCTCTGTTGTCTCACCCCTGGCTGGTTCTGGCTTCGTTGCTGGATGGGAGCAAACTTGAGAAAACTTGTACAGCTTGAACCTCTCTAATCCGGCAACATCCATGGTCTGGCTTCTAGTGAGCTGGAAGTCCATGTCTCATGGATGTGGCCAAGTTTCCCCCAGTCCTGGCTCTGTGTTCTGTGCTGTTCTTTAGCTCTAATTTACCCCTAAATGTCTTCGAAGAGCCCAGAAAGCAGTAATGCTGCGAGACAATATTGACCCCTGTGGTTCGGCAAATTTTCTGGTTCAGCACCGATCAGCTCCTGAGGTGCCGGACTAGAGAGGTTCAACCTGTAGTTTGACTTATTAGGGAGTGGAGAGGAGAGGCAGTAAAAAACAAAAAAAAACACACACAAAAAACCCTTCCTGGGCACTCCGGACTCAAGTTACCGTGAAGCACAGAAGAGAAAGTCTGCTAGCTGCTACTAGGAGAGATCAAGGACAGACCCCAGGAGGAGCCTTGCGGCCTGACGATGCACAAGGAATGACGGGACTTACCTTCTACTGGAGTCGGCAGCGTTGGGATGCCAGGCTGCGAATAGCAGACGAACATCTGCTGGTCCAGGCTGCGCAGCACGTGGAAGGTGGGGTGCGTGTGTTGCTGCACAAACATGTGTCCTGCGTTGACTTGGTTCACGACGATGACTTCTACGGTGACTCCGTCTGGAAGCATGAGCTGCCACAGGGAGAGCGAGCGAGAGGGTGAGTGTCACACCTTCCAAAGGCTAGCACAGAACTTGGTTCCTTGGATACCCCCTCCCCCTCCTTACACAAAGCAAGGGGCCTGAATGGCTCAGGAGTTTAGCAACAGGCTCTGTAGAGCTTTGCCTCAACTGGAACTTAGCACTGGCTCAGGGGGAGTCATTGTTGACATATGTCCCAATGAAGGGGACTGGATTGGACGGGGGCGGGGTGGGGGGGGGGTTTCAAACTTCATTCCATCACACCCCTCTTGAGGACAAAAACCACACGGGGCGGCACATGCGTATAGGCCAACTCGGCCGCCTCCTTCAACGGGGCTCCCAATGATGACGTC